AGGTTGACTTGTGGAAATTTTTTCTGTAGGTGGGCGAGTAGAAGGCTGAGTTGGCGGCAGAGACTCAGTTTCTGGTGGTTCATTATGAGGAGAATCAGGGGGAGGGAGAGGAGGAGAGGGAGGTGGGGAGGGAGGTGGGGTGGTGTCAATTTTCTTTTTTGCGGAAGCCTTATTTTTCTGTGGTGAATGCAATTTTTGTGGTTCATGACCTGAACGGGTATCCAAGTTTTGTATGGCAGTAATGTCGGCCCCGTATTTTTCGGCCTCCTCATTGGTAACATTGTCAAGACAAATAAATATCTGCAAAAACCAAAAAAAATTATTAAAAATCATAGCGCAACCATAGCGCAACCATAGCGCAACCATAGCGCAACCATAGCGCAACCATAGCGCAACCATAGCGCAACCATAGCGCAACCATAGCGCAACCATAGCGCAACCATAGCGCAACCATAGCGCAACCATAGCGCAACCATAGCGCAACCATAGCGCAACCATAGCGCAACCATAGCGCAACCATAGCGTAACCATAGCGCAACTATAGCGCAACCATAGCGTAACCATAGCGCAACCATAGCGCAACCATAGCGCAACCATAGCGCAACCATAGCGCAACCATAGCGACAAGTTCAGTTTTTTTATTTATCATCTTCAACCTAAAATCAATAATGAAAGCTAAGAAACAACAACATTATATTTTCTTTTTTTTTTTACTTTTTCGACAAAAGAAATTTATTAAAAATCGCAAAATCAAAGATCCTAAGACTAATGAACTGAAACCTACGTCTTCTTTCTGCGGCGATAATATTAAAACAGTCAGTTTAGAACTTTCTAACTTACCGAAATGTTGAAACCAGAGGAATTTCCGGCTACGTTAGGTTCCGATTCCGATTCATGCATTACCCCTTGCGATTCATGCATCCTTTCCGATTCATGCATCCTATACGATTCATGCACTCCCTCTTCCATTCCCTCTTCGACCTCCCTCTTCGCTGAGCAGTCCATTTCTTCTCTACAATTTTCTGGCTCATTTTTTCTTCTACAGTAGTCTTTATTTGAGTCTTTCGCGGCTTTCAAAATGAAAAAATAGGGCGGCAAATGCTTAAAAGTTCAAATGAAAAGCGTTATCGGGTCGGGTCGCTAACTCTGAAAAGACATAAAGTGTTAATATTAAATTTAAAAAAATCCTAACAGATGGCGCATTTTTATTGGCGACCGAACGGAGAGATGGCTTCGGTCACCTGACCCAATAATTTGCCAGTCCCGAGGGAGGTTGACATTGACATATACTAGTCGTGTGTCTCGTAATTATTTAAAAATTATAATTTTACAATACAATTTTTTTAAAAAAATTCATAACACATATTTTTAAAGCGCACAAACCTCCAAAAATAGAGGGACAATTGATACATCACCAAAATTTACATGGAGTGACACGAATCTCGAGGCATGTTTGGATTACAAAATTCAAAAAAATTAATTTCATGACCAAGATAATTTTTATTTCAGCAAAGTTATAGCCAAATTGAACATCTTGACGAGACAAATCCATTAGAAAAAATGGTCTAATCTAAGCTTAAATCAAGTGTCTGAAGCACAATTGAAAACTTCTGAAAGTTATTTGAGTGACTAAATGGTCTCCAAACATGTCATACTCACATACTAGTCCAACTTATAGTCAAACATCATTTGGGAATTTAAATGCTACAAAAGAGATATATGATGGAGGGGATGGGGTACTCCAAATTCAATTCATATTTCTCCATATTTATGGGGCATGTTACCCCCAAATCTAAACCCCCTCTCCTTAAATTAAGTGTGGGGTGTAAATGAGTTATTCGAGTCAAGTATATGTCTAATTGAGCTAAGCTTGTTCAGTTCTCACTGAGTTTGAGCTTTAACTAGTTTACTAAGCTTGAGCTTGACCCGTTTGAAAATTTATAGGCTCGAGCTCTACTAGATTATTGAATTCAATTTCTTAGTTTTAATTTTTTAGGCTTGAAATCTCAAAGATTCCAACCCGTGCCGCACCATAGCCAGCAAATTCGTCAAACCACCGTCGTTGGCCCTCCACCGACAAATCATTAAACTTTGGCAAGAACTCGATTGGGGGGGGGGGGGGGGAGGGGGGGGGAGTGGAAAGGGTTTGGGACCCTATGTTAAAAATTAAAAATTTAAGATAGTTATGAGGCTTGAAAAATCTCAAAGATCCACCCGTGTACCATAGCCAGCGAAACCTCAGTGAATTCGTCAAACCACCGTCGTTGGCCCTCCATCTGACAAATCATTAAACTTTGCAAGACCTCAATGGGGGCACCACTGTTGGATGACCTTTCAGTAGCCCTCGTTAGACCTTCGTAGCTTAACCGCAATCATCCAACTGTGGTCCTTCTACTCGATTACGGTCCATCCAACTACTTTTATTCAACTATGATCCATCGAACTGTCATCGTCCAACTACAGTCACTCCGACCTTAATCACCCAACGATGGTCCCTCGAACCCCCATCATTTAACTACAATCACTCCGACTGTTTTTGTCTGACTATAGTTCCCCCGATCACCGTTGCTTGACTATGGACCTCCTGACCAAACAAAACAAGCCTACAATCCATTAATGATAGTTCTCATGCAATTGAGCTCTTACAACTTGAACAATATAATATGTACTTAACCAATACTTTCCATTGGGGAAGGGCATCACTTGTAATCAATGAAAAGAATTGGTGAAATCATTTTAACATGGGCAAGCTCCATGGATTTTCCTTTCTCTAGTTTTTCACATAAAAAAAAATCTAGTATCCTACAATTTTTATACCCCCTCTTTTTGATGTGTGATGGTTGGATTGTCATGCAAAGCTAAAACATGAAATTATATTTTTCTACTATTATGAATGTTTGGGCACACAATAATCATATATATAATTAAATTAGTACAGGTTAAATATTATCAAATAAGGTATTCTTCTTGTTTAGCTTGTAAAATTTATGAATTTATAAAAAAATAATTAAAATCGGCTAATTATAAACTAAAAATGAGCGAAGATGAATAAGGAGCATTTGTTTGCGTTTGCCAAAGCAGCAATTGAATTTAGGAAGGGTTTTCCCAAAAAAATTTAGGAAGGGTAAGATTATAATTTCAGATTGAGAAAGGGCAAAATGGTAATTCGGGATTTAAATAGGTGACCATCCGATTAAATCGGGGGTTTGATCGAGCACTTTCGTCAACAACTGAGAACAGAAGTGGGGACCAGCAAGACACTTGGCGGATAATGGAGCATCAGTTGTGAGCAAAGCCGGGACTTACCACTGACGGCATGCGGCTCACGAGCGCCCCAGATGCTGTGGGTCCCATACAGCCACGTGTCGATCACGTGCTCCGTGTTAAAGCATCGAAGTGCTACGAAACAAATATGAGATATTTTAGAGGGCAAATTTTTGAACTAAGTATAATTAATAATTTTACTATAAGATTAAACATGATGTACAGAGAATTTTAAAATAGATAAAGTCGCTCGTTTGAAAGGCGACTTCGGTGATGTGGCAATTTGAATGAGTTAAAGTAAGTCGCCCGTTAAACGGGCGACATAGACTTAAATAAATCTGCTACTTTCCCTTTCCCGATCTGTTCCTCTCCCACTTCGCCCTCTTCTTTGCTGTTCTCTTCGCCTGAGCTTGTTTGTCGCCGGTTAAACAATGGTATGAATTTTTTTAAGCATTTTATGTTAAGTTAGTTCAATGTATGTAGATTATTCTATATTTTACTTAGAGAAGTAAATATTTATGCATTACAAACTGTTTCTCTAGTTTTTTTTTTGTAAATCTCTTTGTTTGTGGAATATATTTGAAGATTTATTTGCCATAAGTTAAGATTTATGCATTTAGGCTGGGAATATTTGATATATTTTGTAGATCTGTGATTTAGGGTGATTGATTAATTCAAAAAATAATTTTAAATCTTAGAAGAGAATGTAGAACTGTGAATATTTACTGTAGATCTATAATTTTAAAGCTTAACAGAGAATGTAGATCTGTGATATTTGTAGAAGGGACTGATTTTGTAGATCTGTGAATATTTAATCTATTTTGTAGATCTATAATTTTAGTGTTGATTAATTCAAAAGATAAATTTCAAGCTTAGAAGAGAATGTAAAAAATATTATATTGGTTTTGTAAAATTTTAAAATTTATCATTAAAATTTTGAAAATAGATTTTATTGATATTATATTAATTTTTTTGTTTCTAGCATTGAAGAAATTTTGAAGGTTATTAATCTAATTAGTATTCTAATGGATAACTTATAAAATATTTATATATGTAAATGCTAAAATTTAAAAATATTTAATTGTGATTAAAGAATCATTACTATAAAATTATTTTTAATGCTAAGTTTTGTAGCAATAATTAATAGCATAGTTATGTAATAATTTTTTTTTTATCAATTATATTTAAAATTTGATTTTGAAATTGTGTTTGCTGTGATAACTATTGTCTACTTAATTAGAAATAGCAACTTAGCATTTTCTAAATTTAAACGTATATTAAGAATATTTTATTTGTTCATCTTTTTTAGTGGTACGTACAAGTTGAATAATGAGTGGACTGGTGCAACCTTCATGCTCCTGTATGGAGGCGAGTTACAAGTTGATGATAAATTTGCACCAAGTTATTCTGGGGGTAGAAATCGTCCCTTACATGTGCCAAGAAATATAAACTTAGAGTATCTTAAGTTAAGGATACTTAAAGCACTTAAGTATGATCCTAGAAAGTTTTCTGTGAACTTAGTCTGTCGAGTACTTGTGGGAACTGAGTTTGTCGCTTCACATGTTGAAGATGACGATGTTTGTGAAGTTTTATTATGTCATGCTGAAACAGAACTTCTCATCATGTATGTTGATGTCGAAAAAAAAAATGTGAGTGAAGATAACATTAAGCCTCCAAATTCAGAAAAATATGTAACTTCAACACAAGTTGAAAGGGTTGATGTGGTTACTAGTCCTTCAAGGGTAGAAGCAATAGAAGAAGCCCTTCATTAGTGAGTTTCCTATATCATGTTTCACAAATATATTTTCAGGTATTATTGATTAATAAATGATAAATAATATTTTCAATGTAGTGATACTGAGAACCAACGGACACAGGAACCTCCATTAGCGTCTACCCAATCAGTCCCTTCATATCATTACGATTATGAGACTATGAGTAGTGGCTCTAGTGAGCAGTGCTCTGATGATGATGGTGCTGATATGTTACCAGAGGTTAACGATAGAGATGCAATTGATAATAAGGAGATTAGAAATATTATCAAAGATTACTGTTCTAAATCCGTTGGCAGTACGGATACAATGGTGGCAAATAATGACTATGCCGAGACTTGTAGGACAACACAACAATGGGATCAGGAAGTTGACTTTGATCATGATTATGATGCGGTGATAATAGAGGATGAATTCTCGATTCCGAACGACTTAATTGAAGGAATGTGCTTCACAAGAAAGGCTGATATGCAATTTGCGTTACAAGGCTGGGCTATTAAAAATAATGTGCAATATATTGTCATCACATCGAATACAAAGAAATTTACAATTGTTTATACAAAGCATGATTGCCCGGTATCTCCTTGCTTATAGCGACTTCATTCTGCTCAGAATAAACGTTTAGGCGGTATTTGGAAAATCTCATCCATAAAGAACAAGCATACATGTGTGTCTCCAATTCTTGAAAGTGGTCACCGTCAATGCAACTCACAGTTTATAAGTTTCTATATTATACCCACAATTAGAAAGCAGATGGACTTGAAGCCAAGGGGGATAATTGGTCATATAGAATCGAAGTTCAATATTAAAGTGTCATACATGAAGGCTTGGGATGCTCGGAGGAAGGCTATTAAAGTTGTTTTTGGCAGTTGGGAGGAGTCTTACCGTACTCTTAATTTGTTCATGGATGTTGTTGCCTCTGCAATGCCTAGAACGGTACATAGAATTCAAAGCACACAGACAAATAGGTTTCAAAGACTATTCTGGACATTTGGTCCTTCAATTACTGGGTGGAATTATTGTCGGCCAGTTCTTTGTCTTGATGGCACATTCCTACTCGGTAAATATCGGGGGACATTATTAACTGCGATCGGAATGGATGCTAATAATTATCTATATCCACTTGCATTTGCTATAGTTGAGTTAGAGTGTAACGAATCATGGATATGGTTTCTGAGACAAGTAAGTAGCACCCCTAAATTAAAAACAGGCACAATCTCGTATCATATCAGACACGGCAACGTTGGTCTTGTTAAGGTTGAGGGAAAATCTTTCTAATGTGTTCATTCAGCATGTGCTAAGAAACCACTACGTGAGAATTCAAAAAAGCAATATGAACAGATGGGGTTAGGTTATGTAGGTTTTTGGGCAAAAAAGTGTAACGCAACGGTAATAACAGATTGATAAAGGCTTTTAATAGATGTATGGAAGATATTGAAGAGGAATCAAAGGTAGAGCATCCACCAATCTCGAGAGACAGAGATAGCCGTTGTCTTAACAAATGACGGTGGATTTAGATAGGTAAATGACAACTAATGCATCAGCTGAGTCCTTTTAATGGGAGTTCTAAACGAGCTCGAGGATGCCAGAAATTCAACGCCTTGGATTACACGCCATCTACTAAACATTATGCAATGTTATGAGCGGTTGTAGTTCATTACAACTGAAAATAACAAAATAAAACTTTTTTGCTCCAACGTAACATACATCACTAAAAGAGTTAAGGATGAAGGCAGACAATGGCCGAAAGACCAATCCGTCTTAAACTGCATGAATTCAATTGTTGACATGTCCCCTATTCATATCGTGTCGATATACTTGACGGGGAGGTGCAAGAGCAGTTGTGAAAAACCTTTACTATCACTTACCTTGTTACGATGTGGTTTATTGTTAGCAATGTTAAACAAACACATTTTAATTATGTTTCCTACTACAAGAAGAACCAAACTCAAATTAAGTTATGTCATTGAGAAATTTCCATCATTCCCTCAACCAAAGGAAGAATGTAATTTTAAAGGAATTATAATCACAAGGCCTCATATCAAACTAAAGCACCTTCTGGAATACATTAATTCCCAAATACATCGTCATTTAATGTGAAGCATGTGAAGACACTCTGAAAAAAAGAGTGCCTCTTCAGCAACGCAGCTTCCCAACTCTGCTGAAAAATCGCTTCCATGGACAGTCACTGATGTCAAAAAAGAGGAATTGTTATTTAACATTAAGACAAAGAGAGTGTGTTAGCATGTACCTTGGCATAATCATGCAGCCTGATGTGACAAAAAAATAAACTAAAAAATTCACCTGAACTCAACAATGCGTCCAGCAATGTCAATAACTCAATCTAGCGGACTGTGATTCCAACTCATCAAGAAATGAGTGCAATTTTGAATCAAATCAATTTAATCATGCAATCTTGGGCTTTGCCACCAGATAGCCCCTCCACCCCAACTGAGCTACCAGATGACCTATTGCTCTCACTATCGCCAGAAGTTACTTGAATTAGCCACAGGTGATCTGATAACAGGACTGGTACGGAGAAGTTGGATATGCATGAAAAGGCCAAGGTTGGGGGATCCCATAAAAGTTTTGAATTAGTATTCCACCCTTACCTGAATACTTGAGAGGTAACACTCGCGATCTCAGGAACATGAGGCTCTGATCAGATAATAAGCAAAAGGTAATGAAAACCTGTTCTGGGATCAAACCTGGAAACTCCCAATTAGCACTCCCCTGGGACTGTGGTCAAATTGACCTGGACTAGCATAGCATGTGCGGAGATGCTGAAAGATAAGACACACTACATTGCTCCGATATGGATGTTTACTTGCAACCCCATTTGCCATAATACCTGGAACAACGTCCTCGAGGAAACATCAGAAGGCCTCGTATTGTATAGAGCCATGAATTTCATGAAAAAACTGAAATACATAAAGAATCATAACCCAAAAAATGTGCAGAAGCGAAGCATCACAGTGATCCGCAAATACCAAAACTGTGAGGAAACCAAGTTGATGTTGGAGATAGGGCAGTACGGTGCTCCAAAAGGCAGCAGCAGTAGCATAAAGAGTGTACAAGCCAGCTGACTGCAACACAGCGCACTTCCAAAAGATAACCTGAATAGACTATGAAGGATAATTAATCACCCTCAATTGGCTGAATGTTGACATAGTATCTGAACTCCGACCAGATGAACAGAAACGAAATCCACTTTGCAAGCTACTTTGTGATGGGTTTTTGTCTATGTGCCTGACTTCTATGAAGCATCATTGTGATATTTTCAAACTTTTTTATACTCATTTATCGATATGCCTGGTAACTTGTTAACTTCACAAAGAGGAATAATGCTGCTTTCCAATACTTGTTTTCCTAAAACTCCATCTGGTTTGGATGCAGCCCTAACACTGTACAAAGGAAAGAAATGTTGGAGGACACAATGCAGCAAGGTCACGTGTTGTTTTTGTAGTGAAGGATCAGATTTAACCATATACACATATCATTAGAAGTTGACACAGGCCATCAGCATCTTTGTCTGGTTTGTTCCTGAATAGACTCAAGAAAGGGCTGGACCTAGTATAACGGAAATTTAACCGGTCCAGTGACTGGCCAGCCCGATTCCACAACGAACCAGCCCAGACGCTAAAACATGCGAAATTTCTCGGCCTGCGAGGCCGCGCGATGCCTTAGCATGCGGAGCCTAAAGTAAGTTTTTTGGAGATAAGAGGGGAATGAATGTAGGGACTGTTTAGGGATTTCCTTTTGATTTGTATGCATTAAATTGTTGTTTTCCTAGGGTTTGAGTATGTTTAATTTGGCTGAAATTTGAGATATCTTAGATTTAGGTTTTCTTTGGGCTCTTGGCGTTGCCAGAGATTTGGGAGAGATCGATCCTCCTCTCGAATTGAGGATCAATTGTATCTTGCTGTTTTTTATTCATCTACTAGTGAAATACAAGCTTTCCTTTGAGTTTTCTCTCAGATTTTCCCCGGACAAGTGCTGTTTTTCTGCTGTAAACAGCAGATTTTTGCTGTTTTCCTGCTGTGGAAAGCCATTTGGCTGCTGTTGGTTCGCCGATTTTGATTAGGTTGCTGGTGAATACAAGCACTTCCTATCAGAGAAGTCCTGGGAAAATCTTCCTGAAAAATAAGAAAAGCATTGCAATACCAAAAACAGCAATGCCTCAACCATTACTTAGAATACATTAATCAACAGCAGTATACAAACCTCTAGAGTACAAGAATCAAATTTATAGCATACAAGAAAACTAAGTTATGTGAAACCATAAATTCCAACCCCAAAATGAGTACAATAAGAAATTTCATAATATTTTACACAGCACTACTGTGGCATAGATTTTGAAAATATGGTAGAATTGAAGTTTTAAGAGAAACTTAAGATAACTCGCAGTTCGATAAACCCACACACATATCTTATTGAAAGCACAATATTTTAAACGAGCTTCCTAAATTTGAATGCAATGAAGCTGCCACAGAGCAACTCATTAAATCAGCAAATAGTATGAAGTTATTACACAAATGAGCAAATAGACCACGCAAAGTTACAATAACAATATAAAACTCATACTGATGTGAATGTAAATGCAATCTTCTTAAATTTATCCCGACCTAAAATTGCAATCATGATTTCTATAAACAGTTTATCGGGGTTCCTTATGTTCAAGAACCATAAAACTGGGTTTGATCATCTAGGTGCCATTTCAACTATTAGTCACTGTGGCTAGCTATGAACTGCAAATAGAGAACAGATCGTGTTAAAGTTTAACAAATTGCTGCTAAAAGAAATGTTGATGGATGCTTAATAATCTCTTAATTAGTTAGACTTTTATGCTCCACCTCAAAAGCCTGAATGGATACTCCAGAATTAAGTCTCTATGTTTTCATGGAAGAAAAAAGAATATAAAGCAGATAGTTATGCTTTCAAAATGAGTGAGGTGGTTTTATTCATATTGGATTCATGGGGATTTATTGAGGAAAGTAAGGTTGATGACAAAAGAATAAAGGTGAAAAGAAACGAACTTTCAAATTCAAGCTACAACTACCAATATAAAACTCTACTGCTTTGAAGGTAAATGCAAGCTTCTTGAGCTTATTCTAAACCTAAAATGGCAATCATGATTTCTATAAACTGTACATTGGCATTCCTGATGTTGAAAAACTTTAAAACTGGGTTTCATTATCTAGGTGTCTTTCTATTATTAGCCACAGTGGCTAGATATGAACTGCAAATAGATGAAGAGTTGGAGTTAACATACAAAAAAAATGTAGCTAAAAGAAAAGTTGATGGATGCTTAATCATCTCTTAATTAGTTAGGCTTTTATGCTCCACCTCAAAAACCTGAAGGGATACTCCAGAATTGAGTCTCTATGTTTTCATGGAAGAAAAAAGAATATAAAGCAGATAGTTATGATTTCAAAATGAGTGAGGTGGTTTTATTCATATTGGATTCATGGGGAATTATTGAGGAAAGTAAGGTTGATGACAAAAGAATAAATGTGAAAAGAAACGAACTTTCAAATTCAAGCTACAACTACCAATATAAAACTCTACTGCTTTGAAGGTAAATGCAAGCTTCTTGAGCATATTCTAACCTAAAATTGAAATCATGATTTCTATAAACTGTACATTGGCATTCCTGATGTTGAAAAACTTTAAAACTGGGTTTCATCATCTAGTTGTCTTTCTATTATTAGCCACAGTGGCTAGATATGAACTGCAAATAGATGAAGAGTTGGAGTTAACATATAAAAAAAATGTAGCTAAAAGAAAAGTTGATGGATGCTTAATCATCTCTTAATTAGTTAGGCTTTTATGCTCCACCTCAAAAACCTGAAGGGATACTCCAGAGTTAAGTCTCTAGGTTTTCATGGATGAATATAAAGTAGATAGTTATGCCTTCAAAATGAATGAGATAAGTGAATTCATATTGGATTCTTAGAGATTTTTAGAGGAAGGTAAGGGTCATGATAAAGATAAAGAATAAAGGTGAAAAGAAAACAAGTTTCCAATTCAATCTTGGCAGAAGAAGTGGAGGCATAACTACGATTAACAGCTATAATTGCAACAAGTTAGAAGATGAAGAAGATCATCAGAAACGGCTAAGACATTATTAAAAAAAAATACAAGGAGTACCATGATTAAGAATTTAAGAGATACTTCAAGGAAGAAAGCTAAAGATATGCTACGCTGCATAACGGCTAACACCTCATACAACTATTATAGAATGGCTTCACAAAACATTTTAACAACCAAAGTTCTAATTAGTAATAAGCATGGTTCTGTTACCCCGACATCTAAATTAGGACTGATTGGCCAGCAAAGAATCAAAAAGGCACGGTTATCATCCTCTCAATAAACTACAAACAAACAAAGTGCTTTTGAATCCAATCTAAGGTTTTCCCACAACCAAGGACTGTAGAAAAAAATCTAAATAAAATAGGTTGTGGAGGCCTATCCAAAAACATCGGAAAAACATGGGGGGTTAAAATTGACTAAAACGGTAAGGAGGTAAAATTGCCCGACGAATATCTGTTACTCAGAAAAAATGCAGTCCATTGATTGACATTAATTTTAGACGAAATTAACAAGGCCAAACTTAGCAAATTACTGCAGAACAACAAGAAAAAAAAAACATGAACACTTGCATCCTATGCTTAAAAAACAGTCGAGAACTTCGGAAGAGAAAAGGAAGAATATCATCAATTTTCAAACATGTCGTAAATTAATAGCCTCATGCTCCCTGCGCTGTAACATCACCATTTCCCCACAACGAATTACACTCTAATCCACCCAGTCCAAAACCCAAATACACAACAATTAGCACCTTCACTCAAAAAATGCCGTACCAAATAGCATCACAGGCAGTACAACAGAAGCCGAATTCGCTCCGTCAAATAACTGATCGACACCAACCAACCTTGAAACACCAATTCCCCGACACTCCAAACCTCAAGAACCCAAAGGCAATACCAAAACCTAGTCCGCATCATCGAATCCAACAAGAACAAGTCAAGTAAGCATAGTAAAACACAAACAGAGAGAATAAATTCTAACCCGGTTCCACACGACGAAGCAAAACCCTAGCTCCTCAATCCCGTGCACAAACCCACAACCAGCTTGGTCGGTTTTTTTCAAGATTTTCCTGGATTTTGCAATGGAAAGCTATAAAGAAAGAGAAAAGCGAGAGGTCGGAGGAGGAAGTCGTCTTTCTCTCTCGAGGTTTGTTCCTCCTCGATGCCTGAAATGTCGCTTCTAAACCCTCAATAGCCCAGACTTTGTCATTTAATTACTGTGATTTTGTTCTACGCCTGAGATGATCGAAATGACGTAAATGCCCCTTTCCGGCTTTCCTCGTTAGCCGAAATCCGAAGCAAGCAAACTGATCTGAAGTCAGGACCGTGAGCGAACGTTAATTTCGTTAAAGCTGCAAGAAGGCCGAATTGGAGGATTAAGATTTTGTTTGTTTTAGAGTTTTTTTATTTTTTGTCTTTTTCGTTTGGAGACGAGAATTTTTTTTTTCTTTTTTTTGTTATTTTGTTCATCAAATCACGTTCTCAATAACTTCATTTTTTCATTTTTCTGTAATTTTGAGAAATTTTTTATATATGCTTCTTCATTAGAAAACTCCATTTTTCTGAACTAATATTTTTTAAAACTGTCTTTTACAAAAGCAAAAAAAAAAAACAAACGAAGCCACTTTTTTTTAAAAAAAAAAAAAAAAAAAAAAAAAAAACAAACGAAGCCTTAGTGCGAATGTCGAAAATCATCTTGAGATTAATTAGAATGTGTCATATCACTCATTTGCATGGTACCATGGCTTGGTACTGCTCATAACTGCTGACATGGCACATTCTGGTTTATCTCTGTTAAGACGTTCTGCATCTGGACTCCGCAAAGAGTGCGCGGGGCGGTCTCGGCGAGTGCGCGGGCAGGCTTGAGCGCTCGCGGGTGGCCTCGGTGGGTGCTTGGGCGGCCTCGGCAGGCGAGCGGGCGGCGGGCTGCTAATGTTGTCGCGCGGGCAGCCTGTGCAGATGCGGGCAACGCATTTTAAACGGGTTTCCGGGTCAACTCGAACCGGTCCCGTTTTTCAAACGGGTCGAATCCGTGAACCCGAACCCGACCCGTATAAAATATATTTTTTATTTATATAAAAATATAAATATTCATATTATATATATTATTGTTCTGGCTCGATAGAGCGTACTAATTTCTTAAATCCGTTACAATCTTAATTTATGAGAGAAAATGGACCAGCATAAGAGAGCCACCAAACGATCAAATTGCTTGTCACAGTGGACAACCTCCACTCTACCATTCTATTACTTTCAATTTATGAAAATAAATTGGATCGGCACATATAACAATGCTTGAAGACCTGGCCATTATCGTTGCCAGCGGTCTCCAATTCTACCAATTCATTTTTTCCTCATAATTTATGGGAGAAAATTTGGACAGCATAAAAGATTGTGCCTTTTTCCCACCCCTAAAGTGGAATTTTTATTCGGTGTGGACACCGGACGTAGCTCTATGTCCGCAGCGCTCAGAACCAGCCAGTACCGAGCAGTACCAAATTTTGTTACAGAGTGGTACCGTGTTTTAGTACCGAGTGGTACCGTGCATTAGTACCGAGAGTTCAACGGTATAAAGATTTAATTTATATTAAGGGAAAAATTATGTTTGGTACCACTGTATACTAGTCCTATTGATTCAGATGTAAGAAATAAGTTTAAAAAATACATAATTATTTAGTATTGTTTATTAAAATGTACCCAACGGTATCGTGCGGTACCGAGATACACAATATCAAAATAAACAAAACATCACATAAATTAATGTAGTGGTACATATCACATTTTCAGTTTAATTAAAATGTTTACTAATGCACGCCAAATTTTCAATATCACAGCCAATATAATAGATACACAGCGGTGCATAGCAAACTTTATTTAAGAATGTGATGTTATATTATAGGTGGTGTTTTTTCTAATAGTCATCTGCAATGGAGAAAAAAAAAAAAAACATCAACAAAACAAAACATCTTCATCTTCCTCCTAAGTGTACAGAAAAAATTATCAATATACAAATAATCCTTCAAATTTTCATATTACCTAAGTGTACAGAAAAAAATATTATTCATCGTTTCTTCTTCAACTTTTCCTCCAAACCAATCTTCCTCTTCATCGGCTTCTCCTCCTAACCAATTTTCATTTCATCAGCTTTTCCTTATCTCAAATAGTCTTCATCTTCAACGGCTTCTCCTCCTCCAAGCAAATCTTCATCTTCATTGCCTTGACCTCCTCGAAACCAGTATTCATTATCATCACCTTGACCTCCTACAAACCAATCTTCATCTTCATCAAATTTTCCTCGTTTTTCTTTCTCAGCAGCTTTGAAATATTTTTTGAGCTAAAATTCTAAAAAATATGATGCTTTCGCGGTATTTCATTTAAAAAAGAGTGCCAATGCGCAACCTTGAAATTTGAACAGGATTTATTTTGGGCCGGGTCACTTGGTTTCGCAAAAAAAGACATAAAAATTACACTCTACCTACTTCAATTTTCTAGCATGTAATAATATATTATTAGTTGTTTGATGGTGTTCATAGTTGTTAAAATTCACTTAATTAAAGTATCTTGAAAATAATTTGAATTAAAAACTTTCAAAATTAAATTAAAGATCATATGAACTCTAATTTTAACAAATTTATAATTGAATTGAACATTTAGAGTAGAGGAACTGAGCAACATAAAAAATGAACCAATTTAAGTCTAAATGAGCACATATTAAAGAATTGAAGCATATATAAAAATATTGGAATATTAGTTAAATGCTTATAGTAAATTAAGTGGCATGACAAGATGAATCAAATAAGCTCAAAATCATTTAATTATGATGTCATTAAGATACTAAGATACTGCATAAATAATGTATGATCAATGAGATTGATCTGAGCCACTCCATGAAATATTTTTTTATTATAATCAAATTTATCACATAACAAAAAAAAAGATATATTAATAAGGTTCCATTTTTTATATGAGAGAAGTTACGACATTATGAGATATGATGGGCTCTATTGCTTGCCCAACAATTGCCACTAATGACCATCATCAATAACTACCACCACCTAACTTTTGTTATACAACTATCATTACCTGACTAATAACATCTAATCTCATCTTTTAATTTCAAATGTCCGACCATGGAAACCTGATCATTGCTTGACTGACATTGTATAATCATATCCACCCTCTACTTTTTCTATAATCCCTATAAAGGGAATTAGATAATTCTTTTCAATTGTGTAACCCTATTTTCTTCAATTATGGGGAAGAGCATACTTTTAAATCTTTAGTTATATAGTGGACAATTGCAATTGGACTAATTCTAAAGGATTATCCCATTTTTGGATTTTCAAAGTAAAAAATTTTGATGTCACTTGCAACTTCTATCTATATATGCTAGATCATTACACAAAATTAAGATATTAAACACACTCTCTTTATTGCTACAAATTTTCTAGTACATAACAATTTTGCATTGTTAGTGAGAAATATTCTCATCATACTATAATTACTTTTTGAATGGTATAATATTGCAATCAAGGATAATATAATTTTTGTGGTGATGTCCACTTAGGCCTCATTTTGGAAGATCACATGTTTAGGATGGAAGAAATTAATGTTCAAATCCTTCAACTCTTAAAAAATCTTAAATAATAAAGAGCACCATTAGAACACTATTAAATGTTACCACATTGTACCTCCTTATATTCTAGCTCCCTTCTACCACATTCTCATCAAGTTCTCCCAAATACTATATGTTTAACCCATCCTTTCTCTGTATCTAATCCTTCACCAAACATGAATGACTTAAATCAATGTCGCCTTATTGGCAACCTTATGATGTTATAAGAGATGATGTATGATGCATTGCTCAAAAGGATTTCTCTATTAGGAAAAATATTTAATTTATCAATCATCTCAACTTTCAAGAGTCTTTGCATATGAATGATACAGTTCTCCAGCATCATATTATAGTGGGATGTAAGTTTCATGCGATACATCTATATGATGGGAGCTCTGACCCCCTATGAGCATATTAACCAATGTAAAATCATCACGTATATTCAATAAGCTTCTAATACAGTCATTTACCAAGTATTCACTACAAATCTTTAGGGACAAGATTGTACCTTTATACTCTCTCTATGATAGAATTATTCATAATTTTTCTGATTTATCTAGGTTTTTAATCGAGCAATTTATTACTCATTAGAAGGTCATCATTGACTCCTCCCATCTCTCTGGAATTTATTAAAATGAGGCGGAAGTCCTTCAAGAGTACTTTCAAATATTTATTATTATTATTATTATTATTATTAAGAGTACTTTCAAATATTCTCTTTTAAAGTATATCAAATTTTAGTGGTAGATTAAATGTTATCACGATGCATTTTTCATGGAGGTCTTCATCTTTACCTTTCTACACCTCATTAATGCAAGAAATATTCTACGCTTATGCTGATCTTATTTATTGCATAAAAATATAAATAATTATTGATGAGGTCATCACTGCCAATAAAAAAGTAATTTGAAAAATCATCAAGCAAATATAAGAATTTATAAAAAGAAATTGATCAACCGACTTAAAAAAATAACAATATTTGACATATTACAGACACCCCTCTCATGAAATTTAGCCTTAGACATCTAATTATACCCTATTTAATACATTTAGGAATAATATTTTAATAGAGATTGAAAATTTTGAACATCTAAAGCAGCTGGAATTCTTAAAATTTTCAAATGATGCAAACTAATCTCAATATTATCACATCTAGCATTTAAATGGGTTCAAAAGGAAAATGTTTTAGTTAAAGGATATTATTGATTCTCGAAAAATATCATAAGGCCAAAAGCCTCATTAGATACAAATTTCTTTAATTCTCCAAAACTCTTGTAAGGCTAAAAGCCTTAAAATACATATGTTTATTTCATTTTCTAAAAGTTTTAGATGGCTAAATGTGTTAGAAGATAACTATTTTTTGTTCTCCAAAAATCTTAAAATATTTAAACTCTAAAAAAATATATGTTCATCAAGTTTTCTAAAATCTTCAAAAGGCCAAAATCATCAAGTGTGATTTTTTTTTTTAATTCTTAAAAATAAATCTCAAAGGCTAAAGTCTCAAATGATATTGGTTCTCAAAAAATATTAGAAGACATAGTATAGTGATCGTCACACCTAAGAAGGGGGAGGAGTGAATTGATGTTTCATAA